GTACAAACAAACATATTGATTTAAAATGGTATCGAGTGGCGGTCGATTGGAGTGTACAGTGTGTTTAGTGCGAGTTTTTTAACGTTCTCGATAGCGTAAAAGTTAACTTATAGAGTTGAAATAGCGCCCCTAGCGGCAAACGTAGGCAAACGTTCCAATTCCATAAAAATTTGAGTTAACTTTTACGCTATCGAGAACGTTAAAAAACTCGCACTAAGCACATAGACATCACAACCTGAATACCATCACCCATCATTAAGCGTGTGGTCGGAGACTCAATTGCGTTATAATAATAACAGGTGTCGCATTATACAAACCGAAAAGACTGCTTTGAAGTAGATCTAAACCTAAAGGTACCGTCTCACCTACATGGGCGAGCCCACAATACCAGCGGCTGCTAGGCAAGCTCAAAAAAGTTTTTTTATTACTTAATGATGGCAGTCATCCCTGGGCACACGTTAGGTAGGTACTTCTATAGAAAAAAAAATTATATGTGTCTGTGTATAATTTGGTAATACACTTGACAATTTTTCGATACTTTAACTTTTAACTCTTCCAACAATGACAAACAAACAGAACATGTTGTTAGAACATGAATTATTAAAGTCTTCGCAAATGAAAAATACTGTTTCGTCTGTACGGTTCACGATTTCATAAAAATATATCTAAATATTTTTAAAGCTAGATGCAAAAAACAATTTTTAAAATGAAATTACAAGTACCACAAAAATTCGGTTGCAAACTCTTAAAACAACACGATTCTTGAGGATCTATTTGTTGAAGACACGATAATATATACCGCCATTAAATTCAATCAGCATTACATAATAAATACTCAATACCAATAACATACTGTATCATTTATCATTTAAAACATTTATCTTATAAACTAATGTCTTCTTATATCATTACACCTAATACACACGTCAACAAGAAGAATTTATAGTTCATTATTAATCGAATTATGTATAGCATTTTCATTTAAATCTATCATTCCAATAACAATATCACATACATTAATATTTTAACTAGACATTTATTATAATAATAATAATCAACAATAATAAATTTTCGTTTTGTTGTTATTATTGTATCGCATAACAAAAGGACATGTCGCGTTAACGGAAGCATTGTTATTTTTATCTTATAGTGAGATTGCAAATGAATATCATTAAATATGGAAGGGATTTAATAAAATTATGGCTTCATAGATTTCTAAAGACACATTTTTTTTTTATTGGCTTTGTAGGCAGACGAGCATACGGCCCACCTGATGGTTAGTGGTTACCGTCGCCCATGGACTTCAGCAATGCCAAGGGCATAGCCAAGCCGCTGCCTACCGCCTCTCCACAAGCCTCGTTTGAAGGACATGTCATAGCGCTCGGGAAATACCGTGACACACACATCCAATACGAATTCCCTGTTTCCATCATGTTGGTGTTTAATGATTGATGATGAAGTTGATGAAGGATCGGAGGAGTTTGAAGGATCGGATATTTCTTATTACAATACTATTGTAATAAGAAATATCCGATCCTTCAAACTAGAGTGTACGATAACTTCATCTCAGAAACAAGTTGGGTGATAGTATTTACCCGTACAAGTTCACAATACGTCTTATCACCAATAAAAACAAAATAATTGAAGCGACAGTGTATTTGACATTTGCTGGATTAATGATTAGAACTGAATAATAATCAAAAATTGGCTATGATTGTCAAAAATTAAAAACTGTTCGAAATTTTTGTGCACCCATTTGTAATCGCAATTAAGTAAATTTTAGAGAACTCTGGCAAAAATTTGATTTTCGCGCCAATACCTGTTATTACGTAATACAATACTACAACAATAATATACCTATTTACTTTATTATTTCGATGATACGATTTTTGTGTGATTATTTTTAATATTTAAAATATAATTTAATCATTACAATAATGTGCGTGAATACATGAATAACGATAGCGACAGCCCGACTATAATTTATTATTAAATGTTTTTTTATTTAATAAAGATTATCATACATATTATGAATCACATCACTAAACACACAGTTTAATAAAGTACGTACAGAATAGCAAATTCACAGACACCATTGTGATAATAATTATTATAAATAGTAAGTTAGAGAAGATAGCATTAATCTAATAAGATATATCTGAAAATGTTTAGTTTTAGCTTTAGGCATTATGGATGCGGCTATATTGTTTTACTGGCGAAGATGGGAAGATGAGCTCACCCTTCAGTACTAAGGAGTTACCGGGGCCTTTAAACAAAATGGCTGACTCCATGACACATGCTAGAAATCTCAATTATATCGGTATCATTATACTAATCACTGGCCATTCCTCCTTCAGATATCCTATCGGTTTCAAATTGAAATAATCAGGACTTTGTTATCAGCCCACAAGGGCTCGACGCGCCCTACTAAATGAGTCGTAATAAATTTGATGTACAGCGTTCTAATTTATCTCTTAAAAGTAGTTAACAATAAAAAATGTAAAATGTAACAAGACGAATAATTCAACAACGTTATTTATATGATTTTAATTTTCAAATTCTCAACTATTATTAAATTAAGTTCCTTGGACTGTTGTAAATATTATATCAAAAGGATTGCTGGTTCTTTTTTTAGAGTGACCATTTCAATGGGGTTATTTGTTTATTATTTTGTTCTATTTTATAAAGAGCCCTCAGATATTGTTGTAATTGAGATTTTTCTATAAAGAATCGGCATTGAAGGTTCCATTCAAATGATAAGCTACGTTATATCCTGTGGGATTAAGTTTATTTTTCCTTTTGGAATTACTTCGAAATATTCTTCTTCAGACTCATAAATTAGAACAAGAAAAAAGAACAAGTTACTTTCACGTGCCGCATTTGTATTTCATTGAAATAAGTCAAGAGTAGTTGTCTCTTAGTAGCGCAATACCCTTAACAATCATATTTTTTTCCAAAGTGAGAAATTTACTATGAAAACCGATTATTATTTTTAAACATTTTTTAATATCATATCTCCGTTTATAGCTGAGGCTTTGGTAATAGTCAACCACTATCTTACAAGTCAGTTCGTGTCCAGCACTCATCAATTTAATGGTCACTGTAAAAGAAAAACGAACACAAAAAATATCAGCATCTAAAAGGAGATTATGAAAAATAAATCATTTATTATTAGAAGTAGTAACATAGTGTAACGTTGAATTTTCAACACCGCGACTGCTGCGTCGTTTTAGATAAGCGTTATTAAATGATGCCGGTTATTGTAATAAATTAAATCATAACTTTACATTGAATAATAATTTTTTTCAGAATCTTGTTCCACTTATATGTTTTTAGATACAGAAGCATTACTTTCAATAACCATTATTCATGTCATTATTTATAACATAGTCAATGTTTTCTTTGTTATAATTCAGAATTTAAAAGAACTTTGGTTTTGTTAGATAGTAAAAGAGGTTAAGTGTGTAATTACTTTTTTTAATTTACTTCATTGCTACCAATAATTGTCGTAGTCAGTTTTTTAGAGGTTTGACATTTTGTATTAAATATCTTCAATGTTAGAACAAGATTTGAATAAGTTATTAATGAATTTAAATGGACGTCACTATTCGACCCACGTTAATCCTTGGAGGACATCTACCGAATATCTTAAAATTTGACTATATTGTCTTCGTCCCTGTATGATAATGTAAAGAGTGAGGAGACGGATGCATCTGTACGTCACAGTCTCAAAAGACTTATACCTTCGGATTAGAACATGAATTGAGGCCGTCAGCGCAAAAGTGGCCTGACCCACAATACTTAATGTTCGTGCGTATATATATTATAATTTATTTAAAACATAATACATTTTTATGCAAAACCGCCCTATGCCTAATTTCGGCCATAGATAACAGATGGCTTTGTAAACATTGTTTTTGCGCGTATTGTTTTTGCCTGCGAAGCAGTGTAAAAGTAAATTCGAACCTCATTACCTCCATAGTATGACCTATGTGCCACTTTTGCACTGACAGCCTCAATTATCTTGTGCTTTTGTAAGGGTATACGTGTTTTTAGGGGCAGGAGTGATTGATATTGTGCTAAGATAAGTGATCTCATGGTTCCACCAAAATTCAGCGACTGCCTATTAAAGGCATTGTAAAGTGAATACTCATAGTGTGAAGACGAAAGTTTAATTGGGAATCAGTTAAAATTTTTCGTTCGAACATTTTGTTTTGAAATTCATTATCAAAACCAGAAGGAATAAGTCCATTAGACGCTCCAAGAAACAGCAATGGTATAACACTGAGATACTAATCGTTGAAGATCTGCACACAGAAGCTGACATCACAAATATCTATTAAAATACAACATTTAACACTTATAATACATTGAAAAACTACGTACATCAACCTTAACACAAGTACAACAATCATTATCATCTATAAAATATGTAAGCCATTCGCGTGTGACGTAAATACTCGTGAAATCTTTATATATTATATATTTTATTTAATATTGTCTAATTTACATTCCTCACAATACTAAAGGAAAATCCTGAGCAGGATTTTATAGAAAATATAAGTTAATATAGCGTTTTGATTTTCTCGATATGTCAGGCAGTATAGATACTAGGCCACATAATATCAGTTGAACAATTAAATATATGAATATATAGAAAATTGGGAATTTTATGTACGCTTCGCCTCTTGGGTAATACGATCTACGATTCAGAGCCAATCTGATTGAAGAGTAGGACCACGTGGCAGAAAATAAATAAATTACTGAATTAGATTTGAAATGTAAGAAATAAGCAACTTTTTTTTATTGCTTAGGTGGATGGACGATTTTACAGCCCACCTGATGTTAAGTGGTTAGTGGAGCCCATAGACACCTACAACGTAAATGCGCCATCCACCTTGAGATATAAGTTCTAAGGTCTCAATTATAGTTACAACGACTGCCCCACCCTTCAAAACGAAGCGCATTGCTGCTTCACGGCAGAAATAGGCAGGGTAGTGGTACCTACCCGCGCGGACTCACAAGAGGTCCTACCATCAGTAAACTTTCGAATTAACTGTCTTTGGAGAGAAGTCTATGGTTATGTATAGACTTGAATTTAAGAAAAGAAGCATTTAATACTTCTTGAATCAGATAGCATTAAATATATTCCCGTACTTTTGCCTCTGCATTAAAAATAGTGCTACTGGAAAATATATCCAAACTCCTTTGAATTAGAACATAGATTGAAGCTGCCAACGCTATCATTTCCCATTATCATCCAACACACGCACCATTAAGTAGCGTGCTCACACTACGATCAGGCTTAAGCCCGAAAGCTCACATTACAGTCCAGTGCGTTTTTTTTATATATTCATATAAGTTATTGTAAAAGCAGTGATAAGATTAAACAGCTTATAAACTACAACACATCAATATTGTACTCGAGAATAGAATCTAAAAAAGTGATTTATACAATTAGATATTTTAGTAAATAGTGATAAACATCAGACGATTCATAATAAGCTAATTACTAACGATATCTTAAAAACACAAAAATACATGTTCACCTTTATTATTTATTGCTTTCATAAATTTCAGATTCCATATTATGAATTATTGAAGAGGAAACGCAATAGAAGCCTATTGTGAAACGATTTTATGTTTTGGGCATCAAAGCATCACTTTTACGCTACAGACTTATCTAATAAATAGTAATCGAAATTCAAGACATTAAATTGACCGTAATTTCAAGTAATTAGTCGTATATGATGTACAATGTAATAATTGAGACAAAAGCCTTAAACTACAGGCAAAAGGCCTTAGTACGCATGATCCAGCTATGATATTTGATTGATCCATTGAAGGTCAACACACAGATAACGAGCGTGTTAAGATTAAAATAATTCTTGAAGCTGGAAATGGATCACATACAGCACTAAAAGTAGCACACAGAGATAGTTTATATCAAAAATGATTATTACAACGATATTACGTATTAAAAGATTTTTTTTTTAAATGACGACGCGATATTTCGACTCGAAACAAGAATTTTGGTCCTAAATTATTGGATTAACGAAATTCTTGTTTTTTTTTTTCAATTTAAATAGCTTGAATTATTCATTAGCTTGAAGTTGTGCAGCTGCTAAGCTGTCGATATTTGTGTAGCGCGTTTTTAGCTCTATATTTTTGTTTTTCAAATTCACACAAACAAACAACAAACCCATCAACGTGTTATTTTATTAGCTAGGAAGTTATTGCTTACGTTCCATCCCCACAATGAATATCACACCAATAATTATCTATTATTTATTTTCAAACCAGTTTTGTATTACTTTGCAACCCTAAGTCGGTTCCCATTCACACTTTGGACCCAGATATAAACAACAGCAACATTTCCAAAACTGAATATGTTACAAAAAATATTTATTTCTCCTCTGCTTTCTAGATTATGAGGGAACCCTAAAAAATCAATCTTAACCACTAAATTGAAACAAAATCCTTCAAAAGGATAACAAGCAATATATTTGTCTTTTACGAGAGGTAATATTTTTATCTACACAACTAGCAACTAATCATTTTGTGCCGGTTCTTGCACAAGTTTGTCAACTTCGTTTTTCACATAGTTTGGATCTTTTTCATTCACTTAATCAAGGATTCCATCAAACTCTTTTGCATTTTTGTGTTCCGATTTAAAGTCATGTTTATTAAACCTACTATCATTACTGTATTGAAACACATTAATTCGGTGTTGTTAAAGTGAGTCAATTGATTAAAATCAGATAAAGAGTTTCCACTTTAAAAACTTAATTTACTTTTATGAACTTTTACTGGAGGCATATTGGAAAAACAGTTCAATAAGTTCTTTCGATGAATCTAAAACCACTTTGAGAATGTTATAACGCTTGAATGAACTACAAAAGTAACTGATAGAATTTAAAAAATAACAGCACAATAGGCAAAATTCATCGATAATTCCCAGAATAGATTGAACACATTTATTACCGCTTACCACTCCAGAAAACGTATTTTGTTCTCGTGTATTCAAGAAACAATCTATGAGTGAGATAGTATTGAGCATGAATCGGTTGGAAGACTTGAGCAATAAATATGGAATTTTACAAAAAGCTTCTTGCGAACGTTCACATTAAGAAGCAAAGTTCAAAGCGAAATATACAAATTATTTTATAAACATACCAGAAGTTTTGCGAGACAATGATCATTAGTTTTTTTAAGCACTTTGTAGCTTCAAGCTGTCGTATTGATGATTGACCATTAACTTGATTATATTACCGATTAAGATTTTTAGTGTGAATTTCTCAAATTGTCATTTCACTATTAACTTTATTCTTTCGAAGTAGATATTTCGTCATTGATGGATGCGTCAAACACAATTTCTGAAGTTGCTTGGATGACGTCAACGATCATTGACTCGCACGAAATGAAAATGACGTAAGGAACTGAAGGTTTCAGTAAATGAACGCCGGATGTAGTGGTGCCGGAGCAATCCTGGGCTGCTTATCGAGTGGAGTGCAGCAGGTGGGCTCACAGCACGGGGCGCTATACGGAGCCGGTACCAAGGTGTACTGGGCTGGTGGACCATATATGGCCGGAGCTGTTGAAAAAAATAGCCACAGCGTGGAGATTAACTAAAAATTACACGAGTTTTTGTCCTAAAAAAATTAGTCATTTTTTTCCTACCTATGCTGATGGTCTTGAGAAACCATATCAGCGTCACCGGGCGAGTAGGTCATGGGGATCAAACCTGACGTTGTTGCTAACACGAAGCTACCTAGGCAGAGTCGTGCTTCGCAGAATCTAACGCCGGATCAGAAACACGACCCACTGAGAAGATCCGGCAAGAAATTCAGTGTGTCTGTGGGATAATTTGCTCGCCGAGCCCTTCGTCGCAAGCGCCGGGTTCGACGCGGACGATGACCGACTTTATTTCGTATTGAATTTAATAGTAAAACTATTAGACGAAACGTGTACTAAAGATCTTTGTAATTGTTTAGTATATTGCGCCAAATCTGACTAATAAGCGTCCTAAGTCCTAAGTCTTAACTTGAAGATATAGTAATAATAAATACGTTTACATTTCTATAATGCTTAATTTAAGCTAAAACTTACGTGTACTTACTAACTGCCAAAACTTAAGTGTCGTTAAATACTTCAGAAGTTTTTGCCCTGTCTGTACGTGTATTTTTAACATAGTGTTTTTTAATACGTTTCCTTAATACTTTGATTTAGTATGAAATATGTACTTTATTTAAGTGACACCAAAATCATGTAATTTGAAAGTCTATTCTTTTGGGTTATAGGATAAATTTTAAATTATTATTATTTTTAGTAACTTAGAACTGTAACATCTTATTTTAAAACCAACTTCAGATATTTAGAAAGGGATCACTAATTCCAAAATATATTTGATTAATGACTAAAGTCTACTCACTCTCAAATGGCAGAGGATACACAGCATACGGTGGTGGCAGTTCGCATGGACCACACGTTGGGAGCGGAGCTAGAGGTGGAGCACAGAGCAGCTGGTAGCACAACGGAGCTTGTAGTGGGGCAGCTTCAGTTCCCAGGACTGGGAGTTGACTTATCTGAAAAATTCATAGTAGCTTGGTGCACGCGATTCCCATAAACTCCAGATTGCTTTTCTATACTGGTCGGTTGATCTGGGTCGTATTAATTTCGTGTAATTGGGAATTTGCTTTAACAAATAACAAATCGGTGTAGTGGTAAGTGACATGGTCACTACACAAGGGGTCGCGGGTTCGAATCCTGCCAAGGGAAGATATTTGTATGATAAATATAAAATGTTTTTTCCAGGGTTTTGGATGTATATTACATATTATATGTATGTTTGTAAAGCTTCGATTTGATTTGATTTGATAATAAAAATCTTACATTTATATCCGTTATCTGGTACCTGTAACACAAGTTCTTTACGAACTTATCACGGGACCAGTTAACGTGGCGTGATTGTTTGTTAAATATATATTTATTTACTTATTTATTATATTTTATTTATTTATACATATTTTAGGGGTGCATACAAGATCTACCAATAGTTTGTAGGAGCAAATGATGTGATGCCCCAACAGGTTATTAGGAGAGTCCAATTTACAACGTATATATCCTACCTAATTTTAATTAGGGTACCTAATATTGTTTCCTAGAAAACACCTAAATATAGTATAACATGCTTGAATAGCAAATGGAACTTAAAGGATCTTTTTTGATCCTTGTTGACCAGGTTAGAAATTAACGACTAACAAAATTTAACTAAACTAAACTAAAAAAAAAACTATTATATGTATGTATATATGTATGTATGTATATATGTATGTATGTGTGTATGTATTTGTAACTTAAAATAAATTTCATTGCACCTACCACTATTCACTCTGCACTACCTTTGGTTGACTGGTAGAGAATGCCTTAGGCATTAAGTCCGCCAATGTAAATTTTACATGAAGTGTAATAAATAAATAAATAAAAAATCGTCTGATCATCAAGTCTTAATTGCAAAATTCAAATTAATGGGATATCTTGAAGGTGCTAAATACCCAGATTAGATGCCGACTAAAAATTACAAATACCAGTAAGAGAGTAACAGATCTGAAATGGAGGTGAACTGGACATTTAGCGAGGTGAAATGATAGCAGATGAAATAAGACAGTCACCGAAAGGTGGTCAAGATTAGGTCGTGGAGGCGCCGGAAGACCTATAGCACTACGGAACGATGACATAGTCGGGACTCGAAGCAGACGTGAATGAAAATGGCCAGTAATATTATGGCATAAATATATTAAAGATTATATTATAAGGGAATATATTATGGGCAAATATTATGGCACATAAAATGTGGAGGCCTATGGAGGTAATCGGTATCAAAGGACTGAAGATGAAGATGAAGCTAAAAATTTACTTGATACGTTCCGTTGCACAGAAAGGTGGGCAGGCTAAGCTAACAAAAGCGTATTAAAAAACTTTAAGTTTTCTTCAAACACATGTTGCTTTGTTTTTCTACGCTGATGCCGCTAATGGTCGTAATATAAACATAATATTATGTGCTGTTTACTGTTGGCAGGATGGTATGTAGAGTATTGGTAGAGGATGGTAGATAGAGTATTGTGTATTGATTATAGGTGTATAATTACTATTAACTAAATTTGACCAGAGAGCATCAGTTAGTTCTTCATACGAAACACAGCCTTCTTAAATCTTCTGTTTCAAGAACAATTGAATATGCAATTTCGAAAAGGGCACATCTCTGAAAATGTAAAATTTTTAGGAAATTAATAAAACTGATTATTTTCTGAAGCAGTGTAAAATTTATAATATTAACTTTTGAACAACGCTTGAAGGAGGTTACACATGATGCTAAGGTTGGCTGGTACTTTGCACAGAGAGTGAGTCTGGCTGTCCAACGAGGCAACGTAGCCAGTATCTTGGGGACTGTGCCTCCTTCAAGCGCGTTGGAAGATCTGTTCTACTGTGTGGGTTGAGTTATGTTAAATTATTTTGATTTGACTTTTTGTTTTCAAAAATATACTGGTAAAAAAAACTTTTGAAATATATTTTAGTGTTAATTAACAATTGAAAATTACTGGAATTATTATAAAATGGTTATAGATAAGCCTCAAAACTACGTGTATATGAAAAAACGTATTTGACAAAATATGCGACATGTGCCCTTTTCGACATTGCATATTCAATTGTTTTCGAAATTATTTTTACCCGGCAACTTTATAACAAGCAAATCTTTAGACTTAAGAGATAAATCAAACAACTTTAAACTCGGCTAGGCTATAAAACTCCCTCGGTGTATTAAATAGGTCGTGCATACCTGTTTCCTGACAGCCTGCGCGACTCTCAAACGCCCAAGCGGAGAAAACATTACTCCGCCGCTCTGAAACAATGAGGGAATGTAAATTGAGAAACATGTTGATGGAAAATACGTTTGCTACAGGGCTTTTGAAGTTGAGTGAGAAAACTAAGACAGGAATTAAAATAGGCTTTAAACAAGAACTAATTTCAATGAGAAAAAAAAAAGACTTTTTTATTTTATTGCTTGGACGGGTGGACGAGCTCATAGCCCACCTGGTGTTAAGTGGTTACTGGAGCCCATAGACATCTACAACGTAAATGCGCCACCCACCTTGAGATATAAGTTCTAAGGTCTCAGTATAGTTATGATATTCCAAAACAAATTAATATACACTAAAAACAATAATCATCGAAATCGGTTGGCTCAATATTGAGTTATTCATCTATTTGTCACGCACGTACTTAATACAAATTTAAGACTTATATGGTTTTCTCATGGATACCATTATCAGAACTGGACTAAATCGAAATGAGACCACACGGGAAGCGTCAGCTTTCTAATGAAAAAAGAATCATCAAAATCGATTCATCCAGTCAAAAGTCATGAGGTAACAAACATACATACATTTACTACTGGTGGTAGGACCTCTTGTGAGTCCGCACGGGTAGGTACCACGGACCCACGTATTTCTACAGTGAAGCAGTAATGAGTTTCGGTTTGAAGGGTGGGACAGCCGTTGTAACTATACTGAGACCTTAGACCTTATATCTCAAGGTGTGTGGCGCATTTACGTTGTAGATGTCTATGGACTCCAGTAACCACTTAACACCAGGTGCGCTGTGAGCTCGTCCACACATCTGAGCAATAAAAAAAAAATAAAAGAAAATAGTTGAGTTGAGGAACTCCTCCTTTTTGAAGTCGGTTAAAAAAAAAGAAAATTGTATACTGCGAATTCTCACTTAAACGAAGTCTGGAATTTGACCAATGTATTGTAAGCTGTCGTTCTCGAATCCGGAGTTACTTATTTTCTCATAAAATTGAGAGGAATAAAGTTATCAATACGCCCCACAAAAAAGGCCTCTAAGGTATTCAAGGCGAGGCCTACTTCCGAGGTTCGTACGTGACCTCGGTTTCGCTTTGACAAAGGCCCCAAGTGCTTTCTGCTGTACGAGATTTACAACAGTGTCCGAAACACAGGTAGGTATTTCGTACATTATTTTTTGTGTCGAAATAGGATGCAATTTATACGGTCACCGACATAAGAACGCGAGTGGCATACGTTGAAACAAGAGGTCGATTTCAAACTTATATTGATTAATGGTTATACCACCCTTTTTGCGATAACGCATAACTGTTTTGCTAGCCCTCTGTGACGAGGACTGAGTAGAAACAAATTTCTAATCACATATCAGACAGTGGCTCCGAAAATGGCGCATCGATATTAAGCCGTGCTCTTTCAAAGAGAGAACTCAATGCGAATCTCCTCCTACATTAGACGTAGGAATCTTACACCCCCGATCGTCTTCTTCAAGTAGCTGGGAATCGTAGGACGCGTGACATTTCGCCTACAAAAAAAATCGGTCCGCGATCACGTAACGTTTATCCTCGGCAGATTTTACCCCATTATCTGCAAGCGAAGTAAAATGTCCATTCGCAATAAGGAGACACTTTAAACTTACATACTTTTCAAGTAGAGCCGTTGGAGTATCGTTATTCATTATGTACGTCTATTTTCACAAACGATCTAGGTTTCGAATTCATCAGAAAACGCTTGAAGTTAGCGTTGGAATGGTACTTCGAAAAAGCGATGCGTCATGAAAATCGCCTCATTTTCGCCACCGCTGACTAATCCTTGACTCTGGCTCACGCAGGAGCCATAACCGTCGAAACCTAGGTACGTCCTTGCGGATACACCCAGTAACATTGTAATTATAGCACTAGAAGTCAGCATAGGAACCCTTGTAAGCGTACTCGTTGAACTCGCCAGAGAGTTCCACATGAAACCTAACTCACACATTAACTCGCTTTCTCATCGAATGTCCATTTATTTGAAGCATCTGCCCTTGAGCCATTTGGTCTCATTCGGAGGTAATCGAGCAGCTGTAAGTAAATCCTCCTCATGTCTGAGTCCATGCTTACCTACCTTTTATATTAAAACTGGAAAGGTCTCCGGGCCACCAGTAATCCCTCTCTCCAAAGAAAGGCCAGTGAATAGCACAAACAAGTTTATTTATTAAATGGGCAGATGAAGTCGTCGTGTTGTAAAGGGTAAGACGCCGAGTGCATTTGTATTGAGCGATGCGACTGTGCCGGTATTCGAATCCCGCGGACGAGTACTAATTTTCGTAATGAAATAAGTACTTAACAAGTTAAGGACCGGAGCGGTCCCTGTGTTTCTTATTTTTCCTACCTAGCTGTGAGCCTTGAGAGGCTATTTCAGCGTCGCCTTAACTAGTAGGTGAGCTCACGGGGCTCAAACCTGACGACGTTGCTAACACGAACCCTAGCAAGAGCCGTGCTTCGCAGAATCTACCACCGGATCGGAAACGCGACCCACTGAGAAGATCCAGCGAGAAACTCAGTGGGCCTGAGAGTTTCCCTGTGGGTGGATATCATTACTTTGCCAAAACAAAATTAGCGGCACCTTGGGTCCGCCGCAAGTTTGTACCCCTGACCGCAAGTTTTCTATTGAATATGTAAGAAACGCGGACCGCAATGGCTCATCTAGGCCAGTAACTATAACATATTGAAGGGGGACTATTCGATAATATAATTGTATAATCAAAAAAACTAAAAGAAGGAATAGCTTATTTGAGTAATTCTTTATCCTATACACATTTAATTACTTTTAGCAAAAATCGTTAAAAAATCTTGGTCCTTAACCTGTTAAGAAAGGCTCACAAATGACTTCCACGATGAAGGAATATTATCGTCGTGATAAAAATCGAACCCGCAAAAAATGACAATTCGTCTGCACTGGTAGGTACCACCTATTACTGTTGTGAAGCAGTAATGCGTTTTTGGTTTGAAGGATGGGGTAGCCATGGTACTGACACTTAAAACTCATATCCCAAGTCGAAATTTATGTCGTTGATATTTATGTGCTCCAGGGACCACTCAAAACCAGGTGGGCCGTTAGCTCATGCACCCATCTAGCCAATAAAAAAGCTCTGGGCGAGCTTGTTTAATACCTTGGAACACAAGGTCTAAGTTTCAGTTGACTAATTATCACACCCTTCAAACAGAATCGCCTTATTGTTTCAAAGCCAGAAATAGGCAGGGTGGTGGAATTTAACGGACTCCGAAGTCGCCTTCAGTAGTTACATTGGTAAAAAAGTCCCTAGCAAAAGCTTCGTAGTGATTTTTCTGATACCTGTGTCCGCAAGAAACCATGACCACTTTTAAAGAAATAAATAAATCATTTATTCGCCAAGCATGGTGAGAATTAATTATTACATAAGTTAAAAGCAGCGTCATTAGAAGCTTTGTCATTATTATTATTATTAATACTTTATTCAGTTTTCTTTTTTAACCATAACATTTTGTTAGTAATAATTACTTATAATCTATGTTAGATTATAGAATATATTATTATAGAAGGTACTCCAGGGTTGTATTCTTTTTCCGACAGAAAAATAGAAAACTAAGATAAAAAATGTAATAAAAAAATTTGGAACCTTTCTATAACGTTGTAATATCGCAAAAATACCACAGCGATTCCTGTAGTAAGAGATTAGTTTTCTCGTCGCCAAATATCAGACGTACAGGGACGGACTTCATAATTTAATATTTTGTATTTTGTATTTCGTTTACTGGCGGTAGGACCTCTTTAGAGTCCGCGCGGGTAGGTACCACCACCCTGCTTATTTCTGACGTGAAGCAGTAATGCGTTTCGGTTTGAAGGGTGGGGCAGCCGTTGTAACTATACCTGAGACCTTAGAACTTATGCCTCAAGGTGGGTGGCGCATTTACGTTGTAGATGTCTATGGGCTCCAGTAACCACTTAACACAAGGTGGGCTGTGAGCTCGTCCACCCATCTAAGCAATAAAAAAATAAATAAAAAAAGTATTATCGGTCCGTAGTTGGCTCATAATTTAAAAAAAAGAACGCTATAGCGGTATATATATAAATAAAAACCTGATATTAAGTTATAACAATATTTCAATTCAACTCAAATTCTTTCGTTAGAATCACTGAAAATAACATTATTGTGTCATGAATATCTGTAGGTAGATTCAAGTGTTCCCAAATACGGACCCGTCTCCGCCGGAAGGGTATCGATAGGAAGGCATCGTACAGACCCATTTCTGATCAATACTTACCCACGGAATTTGGCTCCTAACATAATTCTGGTTGACATTTCAATGTTCCATTTTGCTGCTAGATTTATTTAGAAATTATTTCACACTGTTCTAAACTTCAAACTGAGCAATACAGTAATAACGGGTTTTCCATAATTCATACGTCAAAAGGCTGTTATAAATGAGAAATTGGATCTGGTTTTTGGTATATTAATTACGCTTTCACTATTAATATATTTAAAAAAAAGCAAACTTGAATTTGAACAATTATTAGGATACACAATCAATTACAGATTTTGTGTAACAAAAAATGTAAGCCGTCACGGGACGCCTGGCAGATGTGAAACATCGACATTATTTTGTAAAAGTAATATGCAGAAAAGAACAGATTGTGATAGGAACTAAATATGTCATAATAATAAAATAAAATATTACGAATAAATAATTTGTTTTCAAGTAAAACACAGGTTATGTGTACTGTAGTAAACAACACTGTATACACTACGGAGTATACACTATAGGTATCCGAGCTCAGTGTAGCGAGAGAGATGGCTTAACGCCGGATCGAGTGGGAGAGAATCGCACAGTTGATGGCGCATGGCGACGCGTCGCCACGGCATGCGTCGCCACGCCAGAAATCGGTTACTCATCAATAATTTTAGGTTTGGAAAAACATACAAACGTTCGACAAGTTACGATTGTGTTTTCTGTATTGTGAGTAGGTACCAAAAACACACACGAGGCAAGACAATAATATCTTGTTTTCGTTTAAAACCTAA